GCTGCGCCCTCACAGGGGCCAGGGAGCAGAGCGCGCGGGGATGGGGCTGCGCCCTCACAGGGGGCTTCTGGCCCCTCTGCCGAGCCCTGCGGGGTTTGGTAGTGTGCAGGCAGTCTCCACTGGCCTGTCTGTCCCCCGCAGGAAATCACTTGTTGGGGAGGGGACGCTGACCTAAGTAGCTGTCATGCCAAGAGAGGGCATGTGGGGAGCAGTGTCGGCAGAACTGGTTTTTCAAAATTCGTAAATGTTGTTTGCAGCAACCTAGGGACGTGATTTCAGTTTTCACTGATATGTGGTGCTCTTTTTGTACTTTGTTTTGTAGGGTAGAATTTCAGAACAAATTCTACGTTGGTGCAGGCACCAAGTTTGTTCCTTTCTCGTTCAGTCTGCTCTCATCAAAGTTCAGTTGCGACGACGGTGTGGTGTGATCGTCTGCCTGCCATCACCAGCGAGCTTTGAGATTAGTGGAGACTTACCGCGTGAAGAGTCCGCCTGTCAAGATTATGATGAGAAATCTCTGCCTCCATTGATTGCCTTACAGTGTAGCCAAGTGATGCTCTAAGATATACCTCCTCCTCCTTCTCCTCGCGTCACAGACCATGTAAACTGGCCAGGTTCAGACACACAAACTTCTTTTTATTATAAACACAGGACAGGTTCATGCCAAATGTCATGTTAAAATTATTTTTAAAAATACAGGACTGGAGAAGCCAATTTTGAATGGCTAATTGAAAATGGTCGTAGATACTTGATTCCTCTTGAACCTCATTAAAAAATACAAAGAATTATTCTGTCACCTGAAGTTATCAGATATTTCCCAACAGCTGAAGTTAAAGCATAGGTTTTTTTGCTTTTTTTTTTTTTTTTTATTGAGTGGTGGATACTCAAGAGATTCATTTATTCTGCTTGACTAAAATATGCAAACTTTCTAGTACATGCCGTCTAGAATGCAGGACGGAATTGTCTCCACAGTTGTGTCTTGTTTTAGTAATCGGAGAGAGTGGGATAAAATGCTGCTCAGTAAATGCTTCTCCCACTTGTATATTTTAAAAAGACTATGATCTTTACATGAAACCAATCATGAAAACTGTACATTGGGAAGGTGAGCTGTATTCTGAGCCTTAAAACCGGGGTGACTTCGGAAGACAGAGCGGCTACGATTTGAACGTGGGCACCACCTTGGCGGTGTTACTGGTGCAGAATGGCGTATGTTGAGAAAAGACAAAAAGCAACGTTTGTATATTTTTATAACAAAATGTGAATTAAGATATTTTACCATGAAGAGATTGCACTTTTCCTGGAGAACAGTATAATTTTTTACTTTTACACTAATTCTAAATAAAGATCTGATAAAGGTAGTTAGGGTTCATTTAAACCTTTAAGTACTGTTTAGATCAGTTGAAAATGAATTCATATGAAGCCATTAATATTTATAAAGTTGAACTTAAAGTTTGCCATTTTGCTTGACAAGTGGTGTTGCCTGAATTTGAGTCAGTCCTGTTGGGCATTTCAATCCAGTCTGTCTTCTCAGTTATGTCTGTGTTTCACATCTTTTTTTTTTTTTTTGCGGAACCAGGGGTTGAACTCAGGCTCTTGCACTTGCCAGGCAAGTGCTTATTCCACTGAGCCATCTCCCAGGCCCCACGTGTTTCACATCTTAATCAGAGTTAGGTCATTGTTTGCAGAATGAAATGCTCTGTGTTCCTGCACTGGTAAACTTGTGCGTGACACATGAAGGGCCTGGTTGTCACCCCACCACGAGCCGAAACCGGGCTGCACCGCATCCGAGCAGATCTCAGGTGACTTCGTTCAGGCCCTCTGGGCAGGGCGAAGGCTGCTGCTCCCGCCTACGAGCACTGCTGTCCCTCGTGCTCAGCCACCTGGCCTGGCGGGGGGTGGTGCTGGGAAACCCCTGAACCGCCCCACCCCAGGAGCTCCGTTTCGTCCATTTCGCAGAGAAGCTGGCGTCCTGCCCGGCTGCTCTCCTGCAGCCCTGTCATGCATGTCACTCTCATTATTGCAATGCAGGAGTTTGTGGAAATGACAGTGGCCACTAATGTGTCCCTAGACTTGGTGGCACTATTACAAGTATCTGTTCCCTCAGGTCACCATCAGGGAGGTCACTTTTGAATTCTAATTAAAACCTATACTCAGGGCATAGAAGGGAGAATGAAGACTTTTTCTTTTTTTGAGACAAGGTCTCACTATTTGCCCATGCTGGCCTTGAACTCACGGTGATTGTCCTGCCTCAGCCTGTCAGTGCTGGGATTAATTACAGGTATGCACCACCACGCCAGGCTTCACTTTTCAATTTCAGTATATAGCAATTATATAGAATGTAATTATATAGAAACAAGCAAATAACTCAAACTTGTGAAAGGATTCTGGGAATAGTCAGGGCATCTTCTAGACACCAGGGGAAGTTTCACTTCTTTACAAAGTGATTGGAATCAGATTCCCAGAGGGGCTGCTCGGTTTTGTTTCTTAAACTACTGTTAGGATCTGTTATGTGCAGCGTTTACAGGGCTGCCTTGATAGCCACGTTAGAGGAGAGATGGGCCGAGGTCTGGGTGGGGCCGGAGATCGGGGCCAGGTGGCTACATTTGTCAGATACGTTAGTGCCACATGGTGTGGAGCCCTAAAAGAAAAGCCAGAGCTTGTCCCTCAGTGGAACCAAGCCTGACTGCATCCTGCACAGGACAGCAGCTGTCTAGAGCAGCGCAGGGGCCTTGGGGCTGCCGTGCGTCGTCGCCACTCGCCACACCGCGCATGAGCTCGCGCTCACTCCTGAATGGCTTTCCTTCCGAGGCGGGATCTCCATCGCCCGGACTGGCCTCAGGGTGCTGGGTTAACAGGTGCACGCCGCCATTCCCGACTAGAGCTGAAGGAAATACTCAGGCCTTGAGCTCTGCGTTGGCAGCGACACCATGCCCTTCTCTATTAAAGTTCAATCCAGGCTTGCTTGCGTGGCACCTGTGTATCTTCAGATCAGGTATTTTAAGTCAATCCAAGAGTGTACAATAAGGGGCTGGCGAGAGCTTTTCTAGGGGGGCCATGATGCTGAGCTTTCGCTCCGGATTTCAGGAAATACTCAACATGGGGCTGTATTAGGAGAGGGCTGGGCCCCTCCCTGCCAGGCAGCTGGCCTTTGCTCCACAATGCATGGAAGACAAATCTGCATCTTCCTATCAGTTTTGGATTCCTTTTGCTAACGACAAATAAATGTATATTTTTAAGACTCGTGTGCTTTGCTTTGGGTCCTGGTCCAGGTAGAAATCTGAACCTCGCCCTTCCTCGCTAATACCAAGGTTCCCTCGCAGTTTCCCTGCTACTCCCTGCCTGCGAGCTCTGGGCTCAGGCCTCTGTCCTCTCACTTTGCCGGTCGCTGCTCATCCGCGACTTGGCACCCGTGACGTGGATGTCAGCCGCAGATGGCTCGTGAGGGTCGCAACGCCCGTGTCAAGGGTGAGCCCAGCGGCGCAGCGCGGCCGCGAGCCCTCTCCTCCCGGTGCTGCGAGCCAGCGGACCGTTGTCCAGATGCCTGTTGCTAGGGCCGCCGTTGCCAAGGACGCCTGCGGACCTTGCGCGGCTGGCCCTGCTCTCTGCTGCGCAGCACTATGGACGACTTTCGAGTGCTGTGGATGCGCGATCGCGTGTACGCTGCCTTTGGCCTCTCCGACCCCCAGCTTTTCGAGGAACTGCTGAGCCGCGATGAGGGCGAGGTGGAGGACCTCATCCTGCACTTCCTCAACTGCAGGAGCGACGAAGAGGGCGCCTCCGCGCTCTTCTTCTACCGCACCGCTGTGCCTGAGGAGGTGGAGATGGAGATCGGTGAGCCGTCGCCACCCTCCCCTGCCCGCCCTCCACGACAGACCCACCGGCGCGCGGCAGGGTGTCAAGTCCACAACACCGTTGTCAGCTGAGATCCTAGCCCTCAGGAGGACAAGGCAGGAAGATCACAATTTCGAGTCAGGCCTGCGCAACTTAGATCCTGTCTCAAAAGAATTTAGAAAGGGCTGAGGCTGTAGCTCAGTGTGATGGCTCTGGGTTCAGTCCTCAGGAAAACAAAAGAAACCAAAATCAAACCTTTTGTCACCCGCCACATTCAGTCGCTGGTGTCCTGACAGCCCCAGCCACTGCTACACTCCTGGGTGCACAGCCGGCTTCCCTGGCGTGGAGAACCCCAGCGAGCACTTGCTTAGCGCCTGCTGTGTACCCGTTACGTTCAAACGGTTATCAGCCTGTTCTCACCGCGTGCGTGGCTGTCCTGCCGGCTACGGCTTGAGAGAGGACGGGGCGACTCTTAGGCCACAGAGGCCTTGGAATCCAAGCTGCTGCCCAACAGCAGTGCAGAGGCCTCCTGGGAGGGATGCAGACTCCCCTCTGTCCTTGTCCCTGCAATGCCCGAGGCGTTGAGAAGGAAACCAGATCCCCACGAAGGCTTCCAAGCTGAGAGGGATTTATGTTGAATGTATTTAAATCTTAAATATAAAATTTAAATATAGGGACTGGGGAGATAGCTCAGCTGCATAAGCACCTGCCTGGCAAGGTCCTGAGTTCAATCCCAGGCACGGCAAAAATAAAACACAAAATAAAATAAAACTTAAGTATAAAATATGGCAAGAGTGGGATGCCCAGCACCTGGTCCTGCTGGTCTCTGATCAGCCAGGGAGCCTAAGAGGGCAGGGCCGGGCCAGAGCCAGACGAGGGATCCTGGGTTGCAATTGCCATGGGCTTGTATGATCCCGCTTGTGTCACCTTGAGTGCCATGGGGTGGAGCTGCGATGCCAGGCACATCTGCCCCAACCCCTGCCGTACCAGGGATAGAGTCCAGGGCCTTTACACTGGCCACATCCCAGCCCTTTAAAATTTGTTGAACATAATGGACTACTATACTGCCATAAAGAGAGATAAACTTGAGGTGTCTGTAGGCACATGGATACAACTCGATGGCATGATGTCAGGTGAAATTAGCCAGACGCCCAAGATGACATACTGTACGGTTTCTATGGGATGAAAGCCACAATATGTACATATGTAAATTAAGAGCAAAACTGAAGATGAGAAACAGGCAGGAGGGAGATGTTTAAATAATGCCCCAAATTCCCTGTTCCATTGTTCCAAGAATATTTCAACTTATATGTTAATTTGTTTCACTTATACCACTAGTTTCTCTCCACTCACTGAAAAGAAAGTTTTATGCTGTTATATTCCTTTTTTGTAAAAGAAAAATTTTTTTTTTTTTTTTGTATAGAACTTGTACTCTGAGTAATATTCTGACCATTCTTTTAGGAGTATGGTTCACTGTGTGCTAACTCTTGCTATCCCCTAATGATTTGTATGAAATTTTGCTTTCTTTTTTCTTTTTTTGTGGTACTGGGGATTGAACTCCGGACTCTGCGCTTGCCAGGCAAGCGCTTATTCTGCTGAGCTATCTCCCCAGCCCTATTTTTTCAATAGAAGTAAGAAGAGTGCTTTTGAATATTTTCATATATATATATATATATATATATATATATTCTTTATTAACAGCTACATGTGTTCAAGTCAAAAACCACTATCTTGGAGGTTCAAACAAAAATATTGTTTTTGAGACAGGCTCTCACAAAATTGCTAAATTGTCCAGGCTAGGCTTGAACTTTTCGACCCCTGCCTCAGCCTCCCAGCATGCTGGGCTTACAGGCATGCGCCACCAGCATCCTTCAGCTGTCAGCACGGTGGCAACTTCTCCATGACGAACAGTCTGTGGCGTCACCATAGGAAGGGTGCGTCTCAGGACGGCTGAATCCGCCCCAGTGCTGTGTGCCCCTGGGACTCCTTCAGGCCTGTCGGTCATTTCTCTTCTGGGCCAGTGGTAACTCCCAGGCTGCACGTGCAATTTGTCTCTTGTCAGACTTGGTGTAAACCTTCACCGTGTCACCAAGTTGGTCCCGGTGACAGGGCATGCATGAGCCCCCAGGACCCCATCTCAAGCCTGGCTCCTGGGACAGCAGGCACGAGGTACCTGAACGCTGGCCAACTTGGAGTGATGTGTTTTCTCTCCATTATGTGGCTGTAAAGACAGCGAACTGTCTGTCCAGTCCCAAGAGGAGAATGACAAGGAAGACCCTGCCTACCAGAAAACCGAGGTCCCGGGTAAGCTCCAAGGTGCAGGGCGGGTTTGGGGGGTGTCAGGGACCCCAAATCTGTTTGCATTGGAGACTGCAGGGCTGTGCATCCACACCACGTTGGTGTCCCTGGGCCGCTGATGCCACAACCCGGGCCCTGCTAGCAACACAATTTATCCTCTTGCCTTTCCGGAGCCTCAAGTCCAAACCAAGGAGTCCAGAGGCAGGGGCGCCCTTCCTTGTCCCTCTGGCTTCCAGTGGCCGAAGACAGTCCTCCGACATTGCTCAGCTTGGGGCCCTGCTGTTCTGTCTCTGCCTCCCTGGCCCCAGTACTGGTCAGGTCCCTGGTGTCTGCTGGGAGCTCATCTTACATCACTTGTCACTCATCCTGTCTGCAAGAGTCTCTCTCCAGTTAGGCCACACAGGGGACAGGGGACGCTGTTCATGCTAGGGTGGCACCTGACATAAAGCTACTGTGCTTCCGAGGCGGGGTGAGGTGTCTCTCTGTGTAAATGGCAGCTGCCATCTCCTTCAGGGGCTCTGGGACACTGGCCGTTCAAGCCAAGGGGCACACAAGGGAGGGTGCAGAGGCATGCCCCCCTTGGCAGGAGCAGGAGAGCCATGCTGGTGCCCTGGGTCATCCTCGGCCCTTGGTGGCTGTGGGGTGTGTGGGGCCCAGTTCCCTTCAGTCCTCCGAGTGGCTCTTGCTGGGCGATTTTGCCACTGGGGGCTCTGCACTGAGCCGTGCACCATTCCGGGAGCGGGTGTTCCTGGCCTCTGTCAGCCACCCCATAGTGTGGAGGACTGGCTCACACTATGGCCACTGGCCCCAAATGTCACTCATGCCGAGGCCATAGCCAAACAGTGTCCTTGCTCCACTTTTCTGTCATAATCCGCCTTCCCCCAGGAAGCAGGACTGCCCCCACCTACAGCTCTTGGGAAATCAGAGGCAGAGAGGAACCCACAGAATGTGATCCCTTCAAGTCGCAAAGAATGGAGCGAAAGGAATGCAAGTTTAGAAATAAAAGACCTTCTTTCTTTCTTTCTTTCTTTCTTTCTTTCTTTCTTTCTTTCTTACTGTTGAGGGTTGAACCCAGGGCCTTCGCACTGAGCTACTTCTCCAACACTTTTGTCTTTTACTTGGAGACAGAATCTTGCTAAATTTCCCAAACTGGGCTCAAACTTGCAGTCCTCCTGCCCCAGCCTCCCAGAGTGCAGAGATTACAGCGGGGCCCTTCCATGTCCGGCTCCGAGGCCATTTGTGCTGTAGGCATCAGCAGAGTCCTAACACTGCCACCTAGCGGTTGTTCCCTCTGCCTGCCCGCATGCCTGGGCCTCGCCGTGCTCCCTCATGTCCTTTGCAAGCCGGCCACTGCAGACCACCGCTGTCGTTGTTGCGCTGTACGGGTGAGGAAACCGACTGCTTGGAGGATTTGGGCTCTCCACGTTGAGCTGATGGCAAAGCCATGTTGAGGTCGTGTGCTCCCTGGGGAAGTCTTGGCCCAGGGGCAGTGTCCCGGCAGGTCCCCGAGTCAGTGACACCGGGTGCTTTGTATCCCCCACACGTTTCAGGTGCCATTATGGTAAAGGGTACATGGTGGCACGGGGGTTGGAGCTCTGCCTTAGTGACAAACCTCTGTTTTAGGAAAGACCCCAGAGAAATCAGGCATTACACACTACACCTGGGAGACACACGTGCACGTGTGCACAGTTTTGAGGATCATATAAGTGTACCTCAACTCCCTCAACTACAGTGTAAGTCAAGACTACAGCAGGACTCTTTTGTGAAACAGATGGGAAGCGTTAGGGAGCACGCCTGTCTGGTTCACTTTCCCTTAGCTGACACCCACAGAATAAAGGAGGAGAGGGTCATTTAGGCTCACGTTGCACCCCACGATCTGCACGCTCCCAGGCACCAAGAGCAGCACGCTGGGTCCTGGCAGAGGAGGCGGCTCCCGGCGTGGGGAACGCGAAGCGAGAGGGGCGGAGCCTGGAGGAGATGGCCCCTCCCAGGCCCCTCCCAGGCCCCTCCCAGGCCCCTCCCAGGCCCCGCCCAGGCCCCGCCCAGGCCCCGCCCAGGCCCCGCCCAGGCCCCGCCAGGCCGCGCCTCCTGGATGAGTCCGCAGTGAGCCCAGCGCCCCGCTGGAAGAATCACCTCCCACGCATGTGGGAATTTGGGGGCCACTCTAGGTGGAAATCTGACATGTCTCCCGAGTGAAATGCACCCTGTGTTATGGCCAGCCTCCCGGTAGGGGACCTGATGTCGGACGATACCGCTTTATGTGCTGGATTATGTTTTGCAGCTAGGAGTTTGCAGCTGAGAAGTGACTCCACGGCACCTTCGGTTCTCGGCACGGAGGACGAGAACCCGAATGGAGAGGCCTCAGACATCCCAGCCACCCGCGTATGCGCTCTGTGCTCCTGGGGGGCTGTCTGGGCCCAGCTGCCTCTTGGGGGTCTGTCTTGAGGAACTGTCACACGTGTGGGACCGCAGCCTTCTGGGGTGACAGCCTTAGAGTCAAGGGCTCGCAGGACCCTGGCCAGCGTCCTGTGTTGCTGGGGACTATGACAGTGCTTGTTCTCACAGCCCCTGGGTGTGACAGCCCACGCAGCGTCCTGCCGCAGCGTCCTGAGGAGGCAGCCGTCTGCACAGGGTCCATGGGTGGCTCAGGGCCCCAGGGACACTGTGTCATGTCACTGGTGAGAACAGGTGTGGCCCACGGCCCCAGGTGCACCAGGAGAGCCTGGCAGGGCTCTCCGCACTTGGGCCACTGCAGCCGGTTGCTGCAGCTTTTATATTATTTTATTTATTTACTGCCTTTTTGAGACAGGGTTTCACTATGGAGTTCAGGCTAACCTTGAAGTCACTTTGTGGCCTAGGTTGGCCTTGAGCTCACAGCAATCCTTCTGCCTCTGCCTCCCAAGTTTTGAGATTATAGGCGTACGCCAGCATACCTGGCTCTTATTCACCTTCTCTCCTCTCCTCTCCTCCCCTCTCCTCTTACCTTATCTTATTTATTTATTTTTGCAGTACTGGGGGTTGAGCTTAGAGCCTTTTCACTGAGCTACATCCCCATCCTTTTTTAGTTTTTCATTTTGAGACAAGATCTTGCTAAGTAAGTTGTCCAGGCTGGGCTAGAACTTGAGGTCCTCCTGCCTCAGCCTCCCAGGGCATGTGATTCTTTACATGAGCAGGTGAACTCATCCTGGCCATGTCTGCCCCACCTCAGAGGCTGGTGAAGCGTGTTGTGGACAAGCTGTACCTCCAGGTGCTCTGCACCCCAGTTCCTGAGGAGTTTCTGGGCCGGAATGTGGTGTTCTTTCTCAGGAACACGGCAGGTACGTTCCTGGGCTTGCGCTTGTGGTGACCGTTGTGCACACCCAAGTGTACCAGGGTCCCTTTTCTGCACTGTTTTGGGAGTGACATGTTGTGGTATGGCAAACCCACCACGCAGGGGTCTGTTCTGTGGCTCTACCTGCTCGCCAGAATGCATCCGTCACCCCAGAGGGGCACTCACAGGGTCTCGACAAGTACTGCTTTCTTTATTTGGGGGGAATAGGAGGACCAGGGGTCGAACCCAGGATCTTCACACTGGGCCACATCCCAGGCTTTTTTAGTTTTTATTTTGGGACAGGGTCTTCCTATATGTTGCTAAGTTACCAAGGCTGGGTTCAAACTTGAAATCCTCCTGCCTCAGCCTCCCAAGTAGCTGGGATTATAGGTGTGCACCGCCACGCCGGCTTCCTCTAGCTTCACTCCGTAGTGTAGAAACAGGGCTTCCTGTGCTTGCTTTGTTCCTAGCCAGCTTCCTCCCATTTCCATGCTGGAGTCCTGGTGGCTTTCCTTTAAAAGGACTGTAAGTAAGGAAGCATGAGGAAATGCAGGGGATGGGTACTGGCGCGGTCTCGGGGGCCTGGGCCAGCCCTGGGGGCTTCTGCGGCACCTTCCTGCTACTTCTGTCAACTCAGGGAGGAATCTGCACAATCTTTGCAATTTTTAGAGTGGTCCCGGGTCTTTGGTCAGGTGAAATAAATACAGAGCAAACTAAACCTCGTCAGAGGGTAGCCAGTCACCAAAAGGGCTTAACGGGCACTTTGGGCTGGGCGTGGTGGCTCACATCGTAATCCCCACACTTGGGAGGCTGAGGCAGGAGGACTGCAAGTTTGCGATCAGCCCTGGTCCCAGCTCCAGGCCCCGTTCACCCTCAATTTAAGCTTTAGCCCTTGTGTTCTGGGGACCAGGACCTCCCAATTCTTCCTATCTTCATTGGCTTGGATGTGACTGGGTTGCAAACCCGTGGACCTCGGAGTGGCCAGTAGCATTTAAGTTTCTGAAGCTTGGAGACTTGAGAAATCTGAAGCAGCATGGCTGCGAATGGGGGTCCGTGGCATCCCACAACCATGCAGCAGCGTGAGTGAAGCCACAGCTGCCACCCCAACACCAACCTGACCGCCCATCTGTCCCTCTCAGAGACCGTCTCGGAGCCGAGCGACATGGTGGAGGCCATGGAGATCATGCCCGAGATTCTGGAGTACGGGGTCCTCAGCGCCCACTTGCTACGCTACCTGAAGGATGTCGTGTGCCAGGTACGGGGACTTGGCTGCATGGCACCGCGGGGCCAGCTGTCTGCTTAGTTTGTTCAGCAGATGAGCAGCGTGCACTGCCGCGTCACGGGGCTGGTGGCTCAGGTGTGCAGGGGACACTGGGAAGGACCCGGGCGTACACGAGGGAACATGAGACTGTTGGGTGGTGATAGTGGTGCCGACACTGAGCCCTGGTGACATGGTAGGACCATGGCAAGTGGCACAGGGGTGGTGTCAAAGTTGGCATGGGTAAAGGGCCATGTCCGGGCTTTTGTTAATAATCAGAAAATCTGGGCTACAGGGCCACAGGCCCGGCAGCGCAGCACTCTAGGGGGCTGACGCAGAAGGATCACAAGGTTGAGCCGAGCTTGGGCACCTTAGGACCTGTCTCAAAAACAAACAGGAAGGACTCCTGAGATTGGGCCCTGAGCCGCTCGCGGAGGCAGGGCCACGGGAGGCAGCGCCTGTCCAGTGCGAGTCGTGCTCTCGCGGCTCCTAGCGCTGGTGTGGAGCCTCGGGGTGGGCTCCAGTCGGCAGCCTGGGAGGAAACACTCTGTCACCTGCTGGGCGGCACAGCGGGAGCAAACAACCCAGGCCGGCTCTGCCACAGGGAGCAGGTTGTCTCCCAGCCCCTCGTGGCACTGCCGCTGGGCTAGGACGCGTGCAGTAGCCTCCTAAGGGCGCAGCTTCTGCTCTTGCCTCCTGCGCTGTATTGTCCACGGGCCCCCTTCAGGGGTCATGGGTGTGGTTGGCATGGAGGAGCCACAGCGCCAAGGGGCTCAGTGGGGCAACCTGTGAGAGGCTGAATGTGGGGGCGCGGGGGCCAGCCGGGTGGGGGGCCCAAAAGCCTGCAGAAGATGCCGATGCAGGGGGCACGGCCAGGTGCACCACAGGCCGCTGGACGCCGAGAAGGGACAGGCAGGAAGGTGCAGCAGGTTGGACGCCCCGGGTGTGACAGAGACAGCCCTGGAGGTGGCCTGTCCTCTGCGTTCAGGTGTTCCTGCCAGCACTGTCCTTCAATCAGCACAAGGTGGACTCAGGCCCTGGCTCGGAGCTGCCTGAGTTTTCCGAGTACGAGGTGGACCTGCCCAGGGTGCCGGGGGAGGCCTTGGAGTACCACAGCGTGCAGATGCTCCGCGACGAGTTCCTCATGAGCATCCAGAAGTTCTCCAGCAACATCCAGAGGATCATGCAGCAGCTCGAAGGTTGGTGGTGCGCGGCGGCCGGGCCGGGGTTCAGCTGCGTTAGCTTTGGGCGCTGGGGGCTGAAGCCAGGGCCTTTCCACTGAGCTATCTACCCTTCCTGGCCTCCTTTTTAGACTTTGAAACACGGTCTCAGCAAGTTGTGAAGTCAACCGGGCCAGGGTCAAATTTGCAGTCCTCCTGCCTCAGCCTCCCTGGTGCTGGAGCTACAGGCCCAGCCATGGACATTTACTCTTTGGCCCCCTAAGGCATGTTTAGTGACCCCCATTCTGTAATGTCATGGCGAGGCAAAAATGGGGTACTATTTCAGGAAGGCTTCCAATAGCTCTGTAGGTTATTGGTGTACCAGGCCTGGCAGCGCCTGCGAATCCCAGCTGCTCTGGAGGCTGAGGCAGGAGGATCATCTGGGCAGTGCAGCAAAGCCTGGTCCCCAACCATCCCACCCCCGAAAGAGAAATATAGAAATTTAAAATAATAAAGAATGTCAGTTACTGGCTGGATTTTTTTTTTTTTTTTTTGTACTGGGAATCGAATTCAGGACCTTGTGTTTACCAGGCAGACACTATATTGAACTTGATGTGATCCTCCTGCCTCAGCCTCCCAAATGCTGGGATTACAGTCATATACCCCCACACCCAGCTTACATTACATTTTCCTACAGTGATATATACATAACATATGGTTTTTAAAATTCTTTTATTTATTTGGTACAGGGTCTCACTACACAGCTCAGACTTGTAGCAATCCTCCTGTCTCAGCCTTCCCAGTGTTGAGATTATATAAAGGCATGTGCCACCATGCCCAGTTTCAGTGGCCAGCACAGCATAGGTTCTAGGGCTGGCATGGCATGCAGTACTAGGGATTGAACCCAGGTCCTTGTGCTTGCCAGGCAGGCTCTTAGACTGCTGAGCTATCTCCCTGGCCCCTATAATGTGTTTTTATTTATTTACTTTATTGTATTTGGTTGTTACAGGATCTAACTATGCAGCTTGGACTGGTAGTGATCCTCCTGTTTTCAGCCTCTCTGGTGCTGGGATTACAGGTGTATACCAACACGCCCAGACTCTGTGGCTGGCTCAGCCCATCCTGGGAGCAAGGGCTGGCAGCCACATGTGGTGCCAGGGATCGAACTGTGGTCCCTGCACTTGCCTGAGCTTGCCTAAGCAGGTGCATTAGTCTGCTGAGCTATCTCCTCAGCCTCCATAATGTGGTTTGAAAAACTTGAGTTGAAAAAACTCAACCCTGTCTTATTTTCCCTGCCTTGTATTGTAAAAAGTTTTTTTTTTTTTTGAGACAGGGTCTCATTATGGCAGTCCAGGCTGGCCTTAAACTCACTGTGTAACCCAGGCTGGACTGAATTTATGGTGATCCTCCTGTCTCAGCCTCCCGAGTGCTGGGATGACAGGCTTGTGCCACTACTGAGCATGTCTAATTTTTGAAAATTGAGCTCACTAAAGTGTAAGATCAAGGATGTTAGCCAGGTGTGGTGGTGCCTGCCTGTGATCCCAGCCCTCAGAAGGCTGAGGCAGGAGGATCGCTGCGAGTTGGAGGCCAGCCTGAACTACATAGCTAGACCTTGTCTCAAAAATAGAAAAAACAAATGCATTTTTAAAAATCAGTGATATTTTAAGGAACAGCATCGTTTCTGGGGATCTTTCTGCTGGGATAATCATCGGAAGTTCTTCCGTGACATTGGAGTAGAAGGCGCACAGACAGAGCTGGCAGGGCCGAGTCGCCAGCCTCATCCTGCTGTGCGCGGGGTGAGGAGCAGCGACTGCCCACAGCATTTGCACCCGGCTGCGGCCGCTTTCATCCCGCCAGGGGAGATCAAGCTGGAGATGCCAGCCATCAGCGTGGAGGGGGACGTGGCGGCCCTGGCGGGCGACCCGGACACGCTCGAGGCCCTGGAGCAGTGCGTGATAAACTGGCTCAGTCAGATCTCGGCGGCCTTGGAGGGGCAGCTCAAGAAGACCCCCCAGGTGAGCGGGGCGGGAGCCCCCAGCCGAGTCCGGGAGGGGCTTGCAGCTCTTCCTCCCCTGCTGCAGCAGCTTCTGGTTCCGCGCAAAGCTGGCTGTGCGTCTGTCCCCCAGGGCTGGGAACCCAGCTCAGGTGGCTTACGTCAGAGAATTCCTTGGCTTAAGGAACGGGCAAGCCCAGAGGCGGCGCTGGCCTCAGGCACGGTTTGATCAGGATGTTGACTGGGAAGTGCCCGGTTCCAGCCTCCTCTCAGGGCTGAGGCTTCGTCCTCGGGCTGCAAGGTGGCTCGTGGTGGCTTGAGAACCAGAGAAGCAGGTGTCCACCCCCAGGGGCCGCGAGGCGTTTCTGCGTCTGTGTCCTTTCTCAGGGCAATGGGCCCCTGGCCGAGATTGAGTTCTGGCGGGAGAGAAACGCCACCTTAAGTGCGCTGCACGAACAAACGAAGCTGCCGGTGGTCAGGAAGGCCCTGGACGTGATCAGGGCAGCGGACTCCATGCTGGTGGCCAACGTGCAGCCCGTCCTGACCGAGCTCTTCAAGCTGCACATGGAGGCCTCCGACAACGTGCGCTTCCTGTCCACCGTGGAGCGACACTTCAAGGTTCTCTCTCTCTCTCTCTCTCTCTCTCTCTCTCTCTTTCCTTCATACTGGGGACTGAACCCAGGGCCCTTGGCACTGAGCTATACCTCTAAACTCCTTTTTTATTTTTTATTTCTTAAGATGCCCAACCTGGGCTCTAACCTGCCGCCTCCTGCCTCAGCCTCCCAGAGCGCTGGGATTATGGGCACGCACCGCTGTGCCTGGCTAATATTAATCTTTCGCCGTGTCTCAGCACACAGTCCGCTGGCGTTGCCCAGAGCCGTGGGCCATCACGAGGGCTGTATCCAGGACATTCTCTTCCTGAATTGAAACTCTGCCCACCTCCACCGCCAACCCCACTCCTGCCTCCCCCAGGTCCCTGGTCACCCCTGTTCTACTTTGGCGTCCATCAGCTGATAGGCGTCTGGGTCACTGTCACCTTGTAGTCATTTCCGGCTCGGCTGCCGGAGTGTCCCGCATAGATGCGCGTGTTTACTGGTCCTCGCAGGGCGCTGGGGCAGCCCAGCCACAGGTCTCCTGCTGGGCTGCACCATCTCGCGTCTTGCCAGTGGCATATGAGGGCGCCACGCTCGTCAGATGCTCGGTAGCTCTCTCTGCCGTCTACATTTTTGATGCTAGCCATGCTTGTGGCTGTGGTTCTTTCCTTGTGTTCCCCTAATAACTGATGAGGTTGAAACCACCAACACACGCCATGTACTTGTCATCAATTTGCGTATTTTGGCAGAAGGAGGTTTTTTTTTTTTTGGCCACCCAGGATGCCTTCAGGGCAGGTCTGGTTTGGCTGGCTTGAGGATGAGGGGATCGAACCACAGCATCCTGAGCCTGACTGCTTTGTTTCAGCAGGCGCTTAAACACCTGAGCTAATGGGCAGGCCCCCAATGGTAGGAAGTTGTTTTTTTTTTTTTTGAATTTGCATATTTAGGGTGAAGCATCCATTTCAATTTCCCCCGCATTTTATTATTTTTATTATTGTTATCTTACTGTTCACTTATGAGGCGTGCTAAAAAGCACTATGTGTACAAGGGTATTACAGTGCTGAGTGTGGTGTTGCACACCTGTGCTGTCGGCACTTGGGAGGCCGAAGCAGGAGGATCCCTGTATGTCCAGGGTCAGCCTGGGCTACATAGTGAATGCAAAGCCAGTCTGAATCATATAGCAAGGCCCTTTCTCAAACAAACAAATGAGCCTCCCAAATTAAAATAAATACCTAGGGGCCAGGGAGATGGCTCAGTAGAATAAGCGCTTGCCTGGCAAGCACGAGGGCCTGAGTTCAATCCCTGGTTCTACCGAACAAACAAACAACATAAAATTTAGTACAGAGCCAAGTGTAGCGGTACCCACTTGTAATCCCAGCACTTGAGAGGCTGAAGGGGGAGATGGCCACAAGTTCAAGGCCAGTCTGAACTGTATAGAGAAAACTGTCTCCAAAAAAAAAAGTAATTATTACAATAAGACACATTGCTGTTAACCCTTTCTGAGGCAGTTCTGGAAGGATTTTTTTTTTTTTTTTTTTTCTGGCTGGCCCAGGCTGCCTTAAGGGCGGGTCTGGTAAAGCATGTGGAGCTGGGGATCGGGGTATCCTGCTCCTGACTGCTTGTTTGCATAAGCAGGTGCTTAAACAACTGAGCTACCGGCAGCCCTCCGTGAAGCAGTTCTGGAAGCCCCCCTTCCTGAGGGTCTTTAGTTATGCGGTTGTGGCTGTCTTGATAGCCTGAATCAATTAGAAAAATTTACCTTTTCTGATCATTTTGATTTTGGAAAGATCTAGAAGCGGCACAGTGCCAGATCTGGTGAACAGGGTGGAGGAGGACACACCATCCTGCGTTTATGAGCCTGCCCTCCCACTGGATGGCACATGGCGGCAGATCTCTCTGTGCTTTTGATCACACTTCTTAAAGACATTTAGGGAAGAAGACTTCTAGAAATGCTTCATAAAGTGGCAGGAATTCTTCACAGAGTGTGTTCAAAGCTAGGGAACACATTTTGAAGGTGATGCGTAGCAGTGGCTTTTACTGTAATGAACATTTTAAACATTTAAACATTTACTGTGTATTTTGGTTATACCTCATACAAAATTTTTTAAAAATTGAATGTCAGTTGTTTGTTAGTTGTGTGATTTGCTGTGTACCAGTGTGTGGTTGCCTTGTCACTTTCTTAATGACGTTGTCCTTGACCCCATTTCCTGGGCAGGGAGTTGGACAGCTCAGCCGGACAGTTCTTCTTGACCCAGAGGCAGCCAAGGGTGGCTGGGCTGGAGGATGCCCTTGCCAGTGGCCCCTCCGCCACTCTCACTGGCCCGAGTGCTTCTGGGTTTCTCTTTGTCCTGGTAGAGTCCAGTGGCCCAGGGCTTGCTTCTACATGTGGCTGAGACGGCTCACAGCATGGAGGACTCAGGGATTGGCTTCTACAAGATGGCAGAGAGCCAGCCAAGGGCCATTCCTGCCAGTGGCATGATGTCAGTGTCCCTGTATTCTTCTGGCAAAGCAGGAGTGAGCTGTGCAGACTTGGGAGCCGGGGTGGAGAAGGGGACTGCACCTTTCCACCAAGGGGGCCAGGGGAGGTGGGACAGGACAAAGGTGGCATCATGCCGTCTTTGCAAAGTACAATCTGCCCCATGTGGCACTTGCACTTTATACATAGTGTGCATGTGAGTGCACTCGGTGTAGGCGATCGGCTGCCCGTGTCTGCATGTTCCACGTCTGCAGGCACAGAAAGAAAATATTTGAGAAGAAGCTGCATGTACAGACTTTTCTGTTGTCATTATTCTCTGACCCAGTGCGACAGCTGTCCATGTAGCATAGAGATCAGAATCTAGAGATAGTCCCCAGGAGGATGTGGGTAGGTTACACGAAAACACTACACCATTTCACTGAGGGGACTAGAGTGGCACAGAGTCTGGTATCTGAGGGGATCCTGGAACCCACCCCCGGGGACACCCAGAGATGACTGGGCTAAGGTGCCACGTATGTGCCACATGTACGTGTGTTACTTCATTACACTTTTGTGGCACATTGATTTACTTACTTAAATTGTGTACCTTATCTGGCCTTCCGTGTCAATCTGTATGGACCTATTTCAAGTTTCTTCTTTTCATTTTTTTTTTTTTTTTTTTGAGACATGGTCTTGTTACGTAGTTTAGGTTGGCCTTGAGCTCATGGTGTTCCTCCTGCCTCAGCCTCCCCAGTACTGGGATTAGAGGCTTGTGTGACCATGCCTGGTCTCAGTGGCTGGCTCAGCGTGCCTGGGGTGGGGCCAGTGCCTTATGTGGTGCTGGGGATTGAACCCCGGTCCCTGAGCTTGCTTAAGCAGGTGCTTAGTCCACTGAGCTATCTCGCCAGCCCTTCTTGTTTGTTACCTGCTTTCCTCCATAACAAGTACATATATTTAAAATCAGAGTGAGAGGGGCTGGTGAGATGGCTCAGTGGTCTAAAGCGCCTACTTAGAACAAGCTAAGCAAAGCACAGGGACCTACCGCGGTTTAATCCCCAGCACCACATGCCAGCCCGCCCGCCCCCTGGTGGGCTGAGCGTGAGAGGCCTTGCACCCAGACCTCCTGCCAGGCTGCCCGGTTCCGGGCTGAGCTGCCCTGTCGCCCTCCGCCCCACACAGAACATCACGCACGGCTCCAGCTTCCACGTGGTCCTGGACACCATCCCGTCCATGATGTGCGCCCTGCGCATGGTGTGGATCATCTCCCGGCACTACAACAAGGACGAGCGCATGATCCCGCTCATGGAGCGCGTGGCCTGGGAGATCGCCGAGCGCGTCTGCCGCGTGGTCAACCTGCGCACGCTATTCAGGTGAGCGCGAGGGCCGCCCGGGCCGGGCCGGATTGGAGCAGCTTCGTGATGCACACGCCACGCAGTGCGCCCTCCCAGCATGCGAGACACGAGGCCTCGCTGTGCCCGCATAACTGAAGAGCGCTGTCTTCATCCCCGCGGGAAAGCCTCTACCTTTACTGGTCCCTGCACTCGGGGGCCAGTGTGTGCGGTGTGCCTCGCTTGGCATCAAGTGTGCAAGGGTCATCCTTAGTGTAGGTGTTGCAGAGCTTCATCCATGTGAGGAGCACTCTGGGAGGCTGAGGCAGGAGGCTTGCGAGTTGGAGTCAAACTGGCGCAACGGTTGGGGATGTAGTAGTAGCTCAGAGTGGAAGCCCTGAGTCCAACGCCCAGTGCCACAGAAAGGCAATATATTTTCAAGCACTGAAGAATATATAGATATATATAGGGTCTTTCTTCCTGGGTACAATTGGGGAAACTGAGGCAGAGCACAAGTGGCTTCCCCAATCATGGATCCCAATCCCTCTCAGGTGGGCTACCCTTTTGGATGTAAGGAAAATGTAAAGCTTTTTTCTGTCTTTTTTCCCCCCTCTGGTCAGGGATCAAACTCGGGACCTTGCGCTTGCCAGGCAGGCACTTATGCCACTGAGCTATGTCCCTACCACCCCGCCCCCCTTTTCTGTTTTGTTTCTGTTCGCACTCTGGGGACAGAACCCCAGACCTCGGGTGTGCTAACATCTAACTCTACCCCAACTCCTTTGTTATTTGTTAAAGAAAACTCTGCCTAGGTGACGTAGGTACAGAATCGCAGCAGTGTCCCTGATGGCCCCTGTCATGGGAGCCAAGGCCACTGCCTCTTCCTTGGCTGGCAGAGAGCTCCCAGGCCACAGCTGGCCCTGGGAGCTGGGGAGAGGGCTGAGGTTGTGTGGTGTCCTGCCATTACACCATCTGGCCACGAGGGGGAAGCTGGCAGGGAGCACTAGGCTTACGGGCACAGGCGAGCATCCTCCAGGGACACCAGCATCCTGGGAGGGCTGAGGTCCACGTGGCAGCCTGCCCCTCTGTCTCCCAGGGAGAACCGTGCAAGCGCTCAGCACAAGACCCTGGAGGCCAAGAACACGCTGAAGCTGTGGAAGAAGGCCTACTTCGACACACGGGCCAAGATTGAGGCCTCCGGCCGGGAGGCCCGCTGGGAGTTTGACCGGAAGCGGCTGTTTGAGAGGACGGACTACATGGCCTCCATCTGCCAGGACCTCTACGACATTCTGCAGGTGGGGCTGCTGTTTCTCTAAGGCATGCCATACTGATTGGCGGTGGAACTTCTCTGGTGGAAAGGAGGGAGTTTGGCCCTTTGATGGTGGGCCTCTCTGTGTGCAGAAACCAGAGTCTGAAACTCAGTCTGAAAGGGCCTGACAAGGAGGAGCACATATGGAATATTCTAGAATATTTTGGAATGCTTCATTGCATACCAGACCTACTACGCTTTTGCCTGCTTCTTGGTTTTACTCTTTTTTGGTTCTTCCTTCGTGTCTTTTGCATAGCTCTTCTCTATTAAGTGTTGGAATTCCTCCAAGACCTTCTCTCTTAACTCTTTCTTTAAGCTGTCCCATCCTCAACTCTGTCCCACCTGCCATTGACACTGTAGATACTTGCTTTTGAGTGGATATGCAAAGTGCTGAGTGTCTGACTTAGGAGATCCATCCATCCATCCATCCATCCATCCATCCATCCATCCATCCATAGCTATTCATCCACCCAACTATTCATCCATCCATCCAACCATCCATCCATTGATCTGTCTACTGATCCAACTGTCAATCCATCTGTCTTCTATCCATCTTCCTATCCACCCATGTGACTGTCCATCCATCCATTCATCCATCCACCTACCCATCCAACTATCCATTCATTTGTCTATCCACTCATCTACCCACCTAACTGTTCATCCATCTATCCATCCCATATCAAATATCCATGTGTCCATTTGTCCATCCATCCACTCACCCATCCAACTGTCCATCTGTATATCCATCCATCCACCCAGTTACCCACACACTACTACCCATCCACCCATCCATCCATCCATCTGTCCATCTGTCCATCCATCCATCCATCCATCCATCCATCCATCCATCCATCCACCCATCCATCCATCCATCTGTCCATCCATCCATCCATCCATCCATCCATCCATCTGTCCATCTGTCCATCCATCCATCCATCCATCCATCCATCCATCCATCCATCCACCCATCCATCCATCCATCCATCCATCCATCCATCCATCCATCCATCTGTCCATCCATCCATCCATCCATCCATCCATCCATCCATCCACCCATCCATCCATCTGTCCACCCATCCATCCATCCATCTGTCCATCTGTCCATCCATCCATCCATCCATCCATCCACCCATCCATCCATCCATCTGTCCATCTGTCCATCTGTCCATCCATCCATCCATCCATCCATCCATCCATCCATCCATCCATCCATCTTTCCATCTGTTTATCCATCTACTCATCCACTTATTCACCTATCCAACTTCCCATCCATCCATTCATTCAACCATCCAACTGCCTGTTTGTCCACCCATCCATCCATCCACTCATCCACCCATCTACCCATTCAGTTTTCCATCTACCCATTCTTCCTTCCTTCCACACACCCCCCACCCTTCCATGTGTCCATCCACCCATCCATCCTTTGACTGTTTTTCTGTTTATCCATCTACTCATCCACACATCCAGCTGTCCACCCATCCATCCTTCTGTCCATCCTTCTGTTTGCTTATCCATCCATCTACCCATCATACAGAATATTTACAGAGAACTCTCAGTGTGCACTTGATCTTTTGCTGCCACAAGACAACAGTGAGCAAAGCAGAGTGCTGGGTCATCCCACAGGCCACGCAAAAAGGAAATGTAAAGCCCTTTGTTCAAACAGCAGGAAAGAATGCTGTAAAAAAAATCTAAAATAGGGGCTGGGGAGATAGCTCAGCAGTCTAAGCACCTGCCTGGCAAGCGCAAGGACAGGGTTGGATCCCAGGTACCACAGGCCATGCTGGCCAGGTTCACCATGCCGGCCACTGACACCAGGCGTGGTGGCACATGTCTGTAACCCCAGCACCGGTGAGGCTGAGACAGGAGGATCAGTGCGAGCTAGAGCTGTACAGTGAGACCCTGTACCAAATGAATGAATGAATGATTAAAAGATGAGAGAAAAAGAATCTAAAATCGAAACCACCTTCTTCCCATCTCTCTCCTCCTCCTGGCCTCTTTGGTTTACTACAATAATAGCAAAAGGAAATGAAGACGCATTAAACTTGTAAGTTATTAGCGTGATCTTCACTGTTCATCTTTAGATGATACACAAGATCAGTTGAAGGGCAACAAAAGTAAGCGCAGTTGCAAACACCCTGATGCCCGTGCTCTGGGAGGCTGAGGCAGGTGGATCCCATGTTTGAGCCCGGCCTGGGCCACTTGGCAACAGTGTGTCAAGATAAAAAAATAAAATAAAATGTACAGGAAAGGAAAATTTCAGTTCTCCTTTAGAGATGGGGTCTCCCCAGGTTGTGCAGCTGGGCTCCAGCGGGGGATTCTCCTGCTTCTGCCTCCCAGTGGGCGCAATGAGAGGCTCGCACCTGCGCCCCTGGACCCGTTCTACCTTTGCTATCCTGGTCTGCTGTCATTTTTGGCATCCGTGATTGGTTAATGCAGCGGGTGACAGGAGTAAGAAGGGAGGGGCCGGGGCTCGTGGCCGGTGTGTATTTGGTGCGTTTGTAGTCTCCCTTGTGCTCTAAGCAAGCTCTGGTTTGAGTGGGCGCCATGGCCTCCCCGTGGTCAGTGCCCACCGTCCTCGTTTCAGATGAAGGCTCTGCCTGTGTGACTGAGTCGGCTTGCGAGGCAGCAGACCCGCAGGGCCCTCTCTTCCTCTCCCTCGTGCAAGCCTCGGTGCTGTCAGATGAGTCTGCAGACCAATATTAATAATTGACGACAGCGACCGCAGAGCCTTCAGCCCAAAGGGCCCCTCCGACCATGCGCCTGGCACCCCTGCCTGCGCCGGGTGCCTAGGAAGCGGGGTACCCCAGGGCCTTCCACCAAGGGGAAGGGAGGGGCAGGGCCGCTGCAGTAATCGCTGGATGTCTGGGCCTTGTCCCACGTGTGTGGCCACTGCAGCGAGGGGCTCAGCTGGGGCGCAGGCTGCCTGCGTGGTGCCCATGGGTGTCACAGAGGCCAGGAGAGGGCCAAAGCGTAACCCCCTCGTCCCCTTTGATCGGGCAGGTTATAGAGGAATTTTACAACATATTCGGTCCGGAGCTGAAGGCAGTGACGGGGGACCCCAAGCGCATCGACGATGTCCTGTGCCGGGTGGACAGCCTGGTCACCCCCATGGAAAGCCTGACCTTTGACCCCTTCAACATCAGGTCCTCGCAGTACTGGAAATACGTGATCGATGACTTCAAGATTGAAGTTCTGGCAAGTAACGCGTCCGCCCACTCGGCCCCGGGGTGCCGCTTCGCTCCCCCTGTTAAATCCGACGGGTTGTGTCATGGTGCTTAGAGCTCTTGGTTTTGTTTTGAAATCACGAGAAAACACAGTGCATCCTGGAGTTCCGAGCAACACAGGCCATCTGTCTCGCATCTTGTGGTGTGATTTCCGAGCTAACAGGAATAGAAGGCAACCGGAAGACATTCTCCCCGGATGCCGAGCTTCCAGGGTTATCAGCGTCCGTCTGGCTTAGTTTCTCTAGAGCTCAGGCTCCTGCCTTTCATGGGACGCGTGAGGGCGCGAAAGACGGGGTGCTTAGCGGTCTGGGCCGGCCGGGTGGAGAAAGGGATCTTCTGGGTTTGCCCCTCATCTCCTGCGGGTTTGGGGAGGCGCAGCCGCTGCTCACCTTCGCCCCCTGCTGCCAGCCTTAGGGTATAGCTGTAAAAGTCCGAGACTTCTAAGCCAAGTCTCTCCTTCCGGCTGCTGTATCACATCCAATTTTGTTTGTTAAAAGTGTGACTTAATACACCTAAGGCTTCCTTTCCGCTTCATCTTGAACTGGTCAGTGGAAGAAAAAGCAGCGATCTCCCACTCTTAATTCCATACCGGCTCCTATTAAAGAGCAGCAGAAATCGAGCGGAGCCCCCTGATTTCTGGACCCTCCCCTCCATTTCTTGCCACTGTTTTCGCAGGATAATGACAGGCCTACGGCGCCTGTATTGTTTTTTTTTTTTTTTTT